ACAGTTACCAGTTCATCTAACAGTTAATCCAACAGTTACCAGTTCATGTAACAGTTACCAGTTCATGTAACAGTTACCAGTGAATCCAACAGTTACCAGTCAATCCAACAGTTACCAGTGAATCTAACAGGTAACCCAGAGAAACCCCACAGGAGAACAGGAGGGAGTTGGACCTGCGACCTTCTTGCTGTGAAGCGACAGCTTGATTTACTCATCAAGGCTGAGGTTCCTGGTTTGGATGTCATGGCTCGGGATGAGTGAGGTGGCGTTTCACAGAACCAGAACCAGAACCAGGACTGATGAGCAGAACCTGCTGCTGCAGTTTCAAAACACAAAAACCACCAAACTGATCTAAATAAAAATGAACTCATGAGAATGAGTCTTTACTTGAACTATTTTAAAACAAACTGATGAAACGGACTTTGACAAAAGAACGGTCCTCAGAACAGAAACTAGTCTGTCCACAGGGACGTGTTGGACTCGGGTGTGTCCTCCTGCAGACAGGGACACCAGTGGACAGGTGCTGAAGTCTCAGAGTTGACTCTGATTGTCTCAAATGTCCAGCAGAGATTAGGTTCAGGTTTCTCACCTGCTTCATTAGTTTTATTTTTTAAATAATTCTTCTGAACCAAACGTCCAAAGCGTTCCTGGGCTGTGGACTGAAGACCTGCCGTGTCTCCGTGTCACCAGGACCATATTCAAAGCAGCGTCCCGACCTGGGTCGGGCTCATTTCCATAACAAACACCATGTCCCGGCAGAGACATTTGAATGGGAGCGTCTCACCTCAGCGAGCCTTTGGGGACCGGCACCGAGGCACACAGGTTGATGGCAGCGCTGCAACGACAACAATCACATCATCATCAGCCTGATGAAGGCTCTCTGCAGAAACACGCTTCCATCACAGCTTGAGTAAACAAGCTAGATGTGCTGTAAACAACAACAACGTGTAGAAAGACTTGAGTGGGATCGATGTCGTCACGAGTTCAGACGTCGTTAATCTTCGCTCTGCGGTCGTTAAAAGATCTAAAGGTTCTCTTTAACCAATTAAATCTCTCCGTTTGTGTCGAGTCACCAACAGGGCGGAATTATTTTAATCATGAAATTATGATTTATTATAATTATTTATTATTTTTAATTATTTATTCATAAAATTATTAGCAAAAACCAACGCAGACATGTTTGTTTTTAGTTTCTTTACATCACTTTATCATGTAGCTGCTTTTTGTTTCATTTTTACATCATTTCTTCTATTTACTTTTCATTTTATACGATCGTCTACTGTTGTCTGGACCTCGTCTGTTCTTTGTTAAACCAGGTCTCTGTTGTGAAAGAGTCCTCGAGGCTCAACGAGACTAACCTGTAGAAATAAAGGTTGAATGGGAACAAAAGGATCTGTGATTAATGACACTTTAAAATATTTTATTGCTCTTTTTAAACTCGTGAAATGTAACGTTTTATTAGACACAAAATGACAGCTGTTGATGTTTGAGCTAGCGTTCAGCTTCTTTTAGCTGTTATCAGTTTCAGTTCTTCAGCTGATTTCAGTGGTCAGATTGTGTTTTAACGGAAAATATAAACATTTAGTTTATTTTCATTCTTTTACATTTAAAATAAAACATCTTCAGAAGTATTAAGATTTTTAAATCAGAATCAGCTTTATTGTCATTGCACCGACAAACAACAAAATTACATTCCAGTACAGCCCGTCGGAGAAAAAAAACAGACATGGGGAGACGGAGGTGTCTGAGGCTGCGGCCCCGTGGGAGGTGCTGCCCTTTTCGTTTAGATAAGGAAAAGAGAAACACGAGGGAAGGGGGGGTATAAAAAAAATCATATCTCACAGTCCTAGATGGGACACAGTGTGAAAGTTGCAAAAAAAATGAGCTCAGCAGGGAAACACCAACAAACTGATGACATCACAATACATTTATGCATGAGGAGGCTGACGAGGGCAGCGAGTTGTCAGAAAGTTCCATAGTCCTGATAAAGATGGTACAGTATCTGTCAGCCGGCTCAGCTCTGATACAGGTCCACAGATGTCCTCGGGAAGGGAGGGGGGGGGGGGGCCTTCATGTTCACGTAACATCCAGGAGAGTTTGAGATAGTCGGCCAATTCAAGGCCGACACGGGGGAGCCAGATTCAGATAACAGTTATTTTGGGTCAGGCCGACTCTGCTTGATCTCTGTCTGCCTTATAGTTCTTCTGGTACGTCTCAATGGTGACTCCAAACAGCCTAATTCTTGTGGTCAGCTCCGCCGGGCCGAGTTTGTAGCTTCTCCAAGGTCAATTCCTTCACGCCAGCGAGTTTCAGGAGCCGCAAGTGGCCTGTGATTCTCAGAAATCGCGTCCAGCTTACGGCTCAGCTCACACAGCATCTGAGTCTGAGCGCTCACGGCACATCCCTTCACGCCGGGCAGCCTCACCAGAACATCTGCCCATGTTTTTCACATTTGTCGATATGCCAGGTAACCACCAACTCCAAAAAGCAGAAATCACGTTGTCATAAATTCAATTATGTGTCTTCTACATCCTCAACTGTCAATACGGACGGACACACGATCTTCCTCGGCCCCCAGGAATCCATCGTGTATCCAGCTGCATGTGTCCCGTCAGGGCATGAGGGCTCTCCATCACCGTGTCTTCACGTTGAAATTTTATCAGTTGAGTTGAGAGACCAGCTGAACAGATCCATAATGTACAATCCAGAAGCTACGTGAAGAGAAGCTCTGATAAGGTTCACAGGACAAAGAGCCGAGCAGGAGGGAAAGTGTCCGCCTTCGACGAGAGCAAGCGGGAACGTTATTAAATATTATTTTCATTCGATCAACCTTTATTTATACAGGTTAATCCCACTGAGCCTCGGGGACTCATTTACAAGACCTGATTAATAATAATTATATTATTATAAAAAATAATGTTTTTAACACTTTGACAGGTTTAATGTGAGCTCAGGCAGAAAGGGTTTTTATGTTTTTATGATTTAAATCAGAGAGTTGTGGAGCAGGAAAACGGGCCTGGATCCGCTCCATCAGAACTCGTTATTTAGTCGTCGGGTGTTTTCAGACTGTTTTTGTTTTGTTCATCAGCTGGTGTTTCTTTAACGTGTTGAGCCCTCTCAGCCACCGTAGTTTGAACCAACTGGACCCAAGCTCAGAACAGAACCCGGCAGGTTCTGCTCAGGTGGGGTTGGTTTGTCACTGACCTCTTTGGTGGCAGATCACAGCGCAGCTTCATGAACATCAGCAGCCTGCAGGAGGAGAACTTCAGCTGTTTATCAATACACTTCATCAGAACCAGAACATCAACGACCCACTGGGTTCAGGTCCACCAGAACTTAAGAGGTTGAATGTGGTTTAAACATAAACCAGAACTTGACTACCAGAGAGGAAGCAGCAGAACTGACCCAGAACTGATCCTGGTTCAACCCTCAGACCTGATGCTGCCCCCTGCTGGTTCAACCCAGAACCACACCTGACCCGCTGGTTCGGGTCCTGATCATGCGTTTGGTGATTAGTGGGGTCGGGTACCTTCCTGCAGCGTCTCTCTCGATAGAGGGAAAGAGACGGAAAGGAGGAGGTGCCGGCAGGTCGTCGCTCAGCTGGTACGTCATCACCGTTTGCTGCAACAACAACAACAACAACAACAACAGGAGGAGTCACATCCAGAACCAGCCCAGCAGGAAGAACTCATGATGAGGGTCCAGTCACCTCGCCCTGACTCGGGCAGAGCCGGAGGATCCGATGGTTGTCGAACTCGTCCAGTCGGACCGTCTGATGGAAGCTGCACGCATCGACCCGAACGGCAGCGCCGTAACCTGAACACAACAAACAAACAACAAACAAACTGTAACCTGAGCAC